TGCATGGAAATGATGTATAGAAAGAGCATACAGATTCCGACATGCATTAAAAAAATCGTTAAGAAAACGCTTAGAAACAATAGAAGTCATATCTCATACGAGTCGAATTCTAAAATGTGGAAATCTGGTAGCTCGAGTACTTTTTATGGTCAAGTAAATTTGAATCGACTCTTCGTCAGAAAAGATTCCAATGCATATAATAGTTCTGATTACGGGAATCCATTATGCATAAACCAATAGCATCACGATCACTCTAAGAGAATGTTTTCTTAGAATCCTATAGAAGGTGTTCGCGTACGCCACTATATGAAATCATTTATAGATTTCCTAGAAAAGAGTTCTGAGCTCTCAGAAACCTCTTGGCAGGCATCACAAGTAGCTGAAAAAGCTCAAGGTTTCGGAGACCTAGTAGAGGTTTCCGGTTCTTCGAAAATATATGCTGCCAGTGTAAAGAATAATCGGACACTTAAGACCATTCCCATCCTTGTTGAACAGTGATTTTGGTCTATGTCTATGAAAATCACGTGAATTTTTTCAAGACATGTTAGGACAATAATGGAAAAATTATGTTAAAACTCTTCGCCTAACACCGTTACTTTTGAGAGTCATATTCAGCAGACAAAGTTTAAAAATAATGCATTTGGTAACGTAAAATTTTTTGCGCGCCTTGATTTTATGTATTCAAGGTTTTTTATTTAACAGAGCACGTCGGAATTCACAGTATAATAGAGTCTTTTTCGATAAAGGCTTACTTCCTAACTGCGTAAAAGTGATGAGAAGTTCACAACCTAAACCAAACTTTAAAAATTGGCAGAAATTTACTGCTTTCTCAAAATTTTTTCGAGGTTCTCAGTTTTTGAACTTCTCATCAGTTTTATCCAACTCGAAAGTTAATATTTATAGAGAAAGACTCTGTCGTGTCCTGAATCCTGATGTGCTCTTCCAAACAAAAAATATTGAATATATATAATCCAGACGCAGAGAGCTGTTTAATGCTACCAAATGCACTGCTTTTAAGCTTTATTTGGTGAATATCACTTTCAAAAATAACGGTGTTGGTTGAAGAGTTTTAACATAATATCTCCACTACAGTCCCAACATATCTTGAAAAAATTCATATGATTTTCATGGACATAAATCAAAATCATTGGTTATGAAGGATGGGAATGTTCTTAAGTGTCCGATTATTCTTTAGACTAGTAACATAGGTTTTCAATTGCTACTCGACAAAACAATTGAAGAGAGACTCAGTTTTAAGAAATCCATTCCTTCTCTTACTTGAAACGAAACAAAGGTCAGAAAAAAAACGTAGCTTCGAGATTCTCAAGTTTTCTAGTCTCTTGAAGACAGAGCGTTGGTGTGCTAATGTTCTCAAGTCGTTTAAATATGGAGTTTTGCAACCAGTCATAACTTTCAAGGTTCACAATTCTCAAATATTTTAAATGCAAAGTCTTAAAGTCAGCCAAAATCTTCGAATGTTTTAGAAACAAAGTCTTGAAGCTATTCAGAGTCATGACCTCATAAAACTTTTATATTTGTCAAAGTTAACGTTTTTATCGGTATAATTTCTGACGTCTGACAGTTCTTTTATGATTAAAGCAGAAGAAGCTTCTAATCTTAGAGTCATTAAGTCTTTGTACGTGTTTCAATTGGGAAACTTTGCGGTGTTTTTTAATTCAGAGTTTTTGTAATAGTAAGACGCTTAATTCTGCAAGTCTTTGGAGGTTAGAGTGTCTTAATCAGCGGAAACCTTTTGTTATAAAGGTTTTGTGATTGTCAATATTAGCTTCTTCGATATAGTCAAAGTTTTTCTGTCGCGAAGTCTAAAGAATCTAGGTTGTTGTTGCGAGGTGAAGCCTTGGGCTCTATGGTTTCGTTATCATTCTAGTTGAGTTTCTTTTTTAATGCATATTTGCGAATATTTCATGCCAGTAGATTGAGGAATTACACCTGGGAATGCGAAATAGTTATGTCAAGTGTCAATAAAAATTATCAAAAAAGAAAAGTTCTATTTAATTTTTTTTCTAATTCACAAAAGATTATTTCTCACTAAAATGAAGTGTTAAAGAACTCGGTATAAAAAAAATTAAGTTTTCCTCGACTTTGGTGAAAATGAGTGGTTCTTCAATCAGATAAAGTAATATGTCCAGTGAGAAAGACTAAAAACATTGTGTCTAAACAGAATGGATACTCTCATATAATAATAACATTTCTGTCGCATTTTTCTAGAGATGCAGTTTTTCTTATAATAATATAATACATTTTCACTTATGAATAATCTGCATAAATCAGTTGAAACAATCTTTAAACATGTAAAAGTTACATTGTACTTTTTTCAAGCTGTTCTCAGGAATAAGATATGAGAAATTAGAAATTTAAGCAGAAAATTGTTTTTATTTTTCTTTTATTTTGGATGGATAGAGTCTATCGAGTAGTATAGGAAAACTACAGCCTTAGAGGTTCAAAAGTTGGTTTTGACCGAAAAGAATTGCAAATAATAAGTTTTTCGAAAACATGAAAAATGAGTGAAGTTTTGAATATTATGCAAAATATTCGTGTTTGTTGTCGCTTTAAAATTCGTAAACTAGGTTTTTTTGTAATTCTCTCTGTAGAACTGTGTAATTTCTTTACACTTGCGAATTTATCAAGTACTTTTGTATGAGTAAGGAAAACGTAATTTTCCGTAGATTACAGACAACATTCCAAAGATGAAAACGTTACGCATCCTTTAATATTAATAAGGATTTCTTATTTCGAAAATCAATCTTTTCGTTATTACGAGCAACTTAATATAAAAAGAGCACGTACTTGAAAATGTTGACGATGAAGATTTCGTGTTCAAATAAAAAGCATGTGATGCTCGAGATCAATATAACAAATCTGATCAAATGACATAGATTTCATCAAAAAACTATTTGCTATCGAAATTCGATCCCTGCTTTTCCTTTGATTTAGGGAAGATGATGCCGTCTAGATGCCTCTCCGAGTCAGGTGTCGGATATAATAACTTATTGATGAAATCTATGTCATTCGATCCGATTTGTTATCTTGATGTCAAATGTCACATGGATTTTATTTGAGAATGAAATCTTGCTCGTCCAAATTTTCAATTGCGTGCTCTCTTTTTATTGTGTTACTCGTAATATCAAAAAGGATACCAGATGTGGATACGTGCGTGTGAGGGTGTAGGCTGTGGGTATGAGCGCGGGGGTGTGGTTGTAAGTCGTTCTGGGTATGCGGGTGTGGGTGTGGGCGTGAGTGGGTGTGGGTGTGGCAAGGGGGAAACAGCGGACTTCAGAATTCAAGACTTCAAAAGATTTCAAGTGACTTCAACAACAGAGACTTCAAATTCTCGAAAGACTTCGAACGCCTTCATGAGACTTCAAGGAACTTCTGAGAGTTTACGAGACTGCATGGGACTTCACAAGACTTCATATGACTTCAGAGGACTTCATTAGACTTCATTAGACTTCAAGATACTTCTAGATTGCATGAGCGGTCGAGAAGCCTTAGAAATGGCATCAGATTCTTGTACCACACAAAACACACTATCTATTAGATACAGATAAAAAATAATTTATTTTCATAATTCTATATAAGAGTATATACATGTACATGTATAAACTCAATAATAAAAGAAAATGCAACCAAAATTTGTGTTTGAAAATTAGTAGATTTTCAACATATTTCTTCTTTTTTCGTCATCATCAGACTAAATCCAAGGCCAATCCATCATCAGCATTGAACTTGTTCATAACTATTATTCATAATTTCACCATTTGTTTCAAAGATAAATACTCATGGTAATTTGAAATGAAAATTTTAGCTGCATTTAATCACGCAAAAGAGCTAGTTAGTAATTTGAATATATTGACTTCGTTAAAGAAACACACTGCTTTTAAATTACATGATTTAAGTAAAAATATATTTGACAGTGTTATATTGAAGATTGATTCAGATAATTATTCGATAGCTGATTCAGATTCATCCTCAAATTCTGAATCTGATTATGATGATGGAGCAATGGAAGGTAATGAAGTTAATAATGATTTGTTCAGCTTGAATGAAGAAGAGCAAGATGTGACAAACATACAAAATGTTGATAAAATTAAAATTAATAAGATGAACTTTAATGGTATACGTATATTCGACTCCATCAATGCAGCATTGAAGAGCTCTTATTTTCAGCTGCAAATAAATAACAAGCCTAAATTTATACATAAGCAAACAGCGTGTTGGCTATTGACCGATAAAGCTAGCCGTTTATCAACTGACAGACTTTCACGAGTGATAGAAGCAAACAAAAAGA